GAGAACTTGAGATACCACTAAATCCTACAGACTGTTCTTTTAAAGGTCACTAAAGCATGCCAAAGTTATTAGGAATCATTAGGAACATCCACAGCAATTTTACAGTGATCTTGCCAATAGCTGTCAAGTATGTCACTCTGAACCAGTGTTTGATACAGAATCTTGAGTCAAAACTGCACACTGTCCTAGAGAGAACGTAAAATAGTTTTAAAACACTTAAATCTCTTCTCCACCAGCAGCAGTTAAAACCTTGAGCCGATGTTAGATGTGTGTGTGTACTAGCACACCTGCACATAGCCCTAAATTTGTCCAAATCAAAAGCAGCTCTAACCACAAATAGTTCCAGAGTGAGTCAACAGTGTGTTGGTTTCTACGAACAACCTCCCTCTGTGGTTTTATATGATCATAAAATTACACATTCCTTTATAGTCCACTGGCTCTGACCCAAAGGCAAGTGCTAAAATGCATCAAGTATAATGTCACAAGATGAAGAGCTTTACATACATGTAGCGAGGAAAACAAACAAAATGATCAGTAGTAAGAGAGACAGATGGAGACAGAGAGAGAGATCGAGCTCTGACGTCACTGTTTTCTGTTTTCTGTTCAGCTCTAATCATGACCTGCTGTTTGAGCTCAGCTCAAACTAACTAGGACCCCAAACAACAAATAAGATTAGATACAACTTAATGAATGCTCATGGCTACACTGAGTCACTGACAGCAAAGGGTTTTATGACAATGGAAAAAAAAACGTTTCATATAAATACAGCCCCATTTGAACGGGATTCACATTTCATGGGGAAGTGGGGATTGAAATATTCACTGTGTATTCCTTGGTAATTTAACTCATTGTTCTGGACGGCTTTTTAACCATCGGGAAATTTCACGATAGGGTCTGTAATAGAAATGGACATTCCACAGGACAAAGCCAAAAGAGAAAGCCAAAGGCCTCCCCAGGGGACACACAACAGTTGAAGAGGAGGTGTGGTGGGGAAGACCTCATGCACCAGTAAAAATTCATATTCCTTCTCAAAGTCATAATTCAGTAAATTCTTAGCACACAGTCATAAAACGCATATTGATATCATTCAGTGTGACTTACGCTTCCTGAGGATCAGTTATCTCCGATGTTCATTGTATAACTCCACTTGGAAATCATGGAAAATATACTGCAGAAGTTGCCTGAAAATAATCACATTTTACCAGTTTTTTCAGAGTCAAAGTTGTCAAGTGATGGTTCAGTTTATAATACAGGCAAAACATATATGTCCTGATGGCTTTCATTTATTTCTGTCACAAAGTTGGTTCCCAAATAGACCTATATGTTGTTTAGCAAAAAGATGTTTGACTTTTAGTCCCTGTCATCAGTGTATGAATGGGTGAATGATGACATGTAGTGTTAAAGAGCTTTGAGTGGTCGGAAAACTACAAAAGAGATATACAAGTACAGTCCATTTACCATTTGTAAATAGCACTAAAGGTAAGGGGAAACTGTGTTTTTTATTTTTGGGTGAATTGCCTCTTTAATACAGAATCAGCGTTCAGTCTAATGATATAAAATTCATCTGGCCTGCTTTAAATAAATCCTTTGTAAAGCTTCGGAGGTTATTTATTATGTTTTGTCGAGGCTGTCGGAGACGTGTTGGTTCACATCTTTGGCGATGTCTGATTTTGAGGTGTGTACTTTGGATTTGGATTGCACAACATCACATGTTGCTTCTACTATTTTGCCCAGTGAGTGATTGAGTCCCTGATTGGTAAGAATCATATAAATTGATATTTAAAAATTTAAACGATAATACGTCATCATACCCTCATCATTTCCTTACTAACAGCAATTTTCTGTAAATATGTAATGAAACATAATTTGAACGTGCTGGGTAGTCTAAATGACACCCTGAAGAGCTTTCAGGTTGAAGTGTTGGGTGTGCTGCTCTCTTAATCACGCCGTTCCCCGAGATCCAAGAACCAAAAAGTGTTTTTGTTCTGTGGTGAGCATGGCTTTCACATTACTGTCCAGTATGATTTAGGTCCACTGATACCCTGTCAGTTTAGCAATGCAACAATAGTTGGAAACAGGGTGGGATGAAGAGGAATACAAGGGACAAGGCACGGGACTGTTTTCCTTCCCTTTAGAAGCAAAGCTTCAGGATGAAGAGGACAGTCCAGAGGAGATTCTCCATGTTTCTCCAGGATGAGACTGGTGTCTTTGTTGGATTACTCTATAGAAATACTACAGAACCCATTTCAAGCGTATTGACCAGTGATCCAGTTTTGGAGTTACCAGTAAAGGATGCTATTTGAGATGTTACTTTGGGGGCAGGACGTCTTTCTTCCCAACAGCTACAGTATTTCAATCAAATGTCAATACTTCTCGCCGGCCACTAGAGGGAGTAACTGAACCGTAAATCTAAATCTACTGATCGCTGTATACAAAACAAGCGAAACTGATTAATCCTGATTTGAAATTGTCATAGTTGTCATTGCTTTCTGGCACAAAGACAGAAGACAATGGATGAACAAATATTATGCTACAGGTAGACAGAAAATAAAACTCTCACAGTGTTCATGTCACGTCATGGAGATGCTTCGGTTGTTATCATGTGACCCAAGCATAGGACTTCTTCATTGAGATGTGGTTCAAAGCTTCTGCAAAAACTAGTAAGAGGACCTTGAGCTGAACTTTGACACTCACAAAAAGTATACATATTTGTTTCTAAAGACTGTGGTATGTATTCCATATGCATGAAACAATACTAGGCCTGAGCCCAAATTGCATTCTTTGAAATATAAATGTAAAAACAAACCTGTACCATTACAGTAGCTGAGGGCTTGGTGTTATTTGGATGTGCTGGCAGCCATTTCCTTTTGGCTGCTGAGTGTTTTTTACCACATCTGATGTCATCAGCTGGTATGTAAGTGAGTTACTGAGCCTTCATGTGCTGCTCTGTGTGTATGTGCATATGTGTGTGTGTGTGTGTGTGTGTGTTGGTGTTTACAGAAAAGTATCCCACCTCACAGTGGGCCCTTCCACCAGAGCCATTCTTTACATTGACTGCTTTACTCAATGTAAGTGATGTCTGGTCGATGTGTTTTATCTGTACTTATTGCTCATAGATAGAGGTTTCCATCCCAATAGATCGCTATGCTTGCACATATAAACTGCTATGCAAAAGGAGCAAGTATCGTCAAACTTCTCACAATGTATGAGCAGGGCACACTAAGCCAACATAATCCACCTCATGCCATTTTCGGTCATGTGATGCAGAATGAGTTTGTTGACTTTCGCACTCACATTTTTGCTTTGGATTACAATCAAGACCACAGTTAAAGAAAAAGCTTTGACGGTCACTGCAGAACCTCAGAAGATTAGTCAAACGTCAGGAAGGATGAAGATGATGTTTTTTTCAAGAAAGTTCTCCAGCAGATGGCAGGTTTTGTTCACTAAAACATGGCCTTCCTCCTCGGTTGCTGCAGAACACCATAGGCTTTAATATTGTCCTGCATAGCTTGTATCAGGACTATGTACTCACTGATACAGACCACACGCTGTCCATTATATTTGAATGCAGGGGTTGAGATCCCCCAGGGGATTATTAAAGGGATAAGAATACAGTATATGTTTTCTGTTTTGCAAAATTGTTTTTTTTATTTTTTTGTGAGATTTTTTTATTTCTGGTAATTCACATCCACAAAGCTAACTAAATTCAGACTCCTAATGATAACTAGTGAAGCTATTCAAGTTCCTTTTTTTGTAACAAAACACTAAAAATCTAAATGTAACCTTAATATTACAATAGTTATTATTAAAAATGTATGTGGTATTACTGTATGATATTTAATCACATGGGAAATGTGTTCAACTACAAATTGATTTAGTGAAGATTACTTTTGATTGTTTGACCACTATCTCAAAATGAAAAGTTAATGTGGCTTTAAGGTATGAAATCAATATTCAATATCAATCCGTATTATGACAAAATACAAATACGTTTGCTCCAGTCTTTAGTAGACAAAGAGTGTGTGGCAGACAGTCAGTGATGTGTGGTGCCTACAGGGTTCGTTACTACAGCACTGAGTCAGTCCCCGTAATGCATGGATACCACACAGAACACGTCCATGTGATGGTCCAGTATCAAGACCAGCACCTCATGAATCCATCCAGAGTCCGGCGTGAAGAGAGCATGTCTGTAAAGTGAAAGGCCGTGTGCACGGAGCACTGATTGATGGCCGAACATATTATCTCTTCAACGATTACTGAAAATCAAACGTGCAGCAAGTTAAGCGCTGTCAGAGAGCAGAGCCGCACACTGGCCCTCGTGCGCTTTTAATGGAATGTTTTAACAGCTAAACCTTACAAACGGGAAACTCATATTTCTATTGTTGTATCAAACTCTATTTGGGTCATTAAAAGGAGCGCGTGCGCACCGCTCCATCCACCCAGTCCCGTTGAGTGTGTGACATGTCACACTATACCACTTGACACTTTTCCAGCCTGACGATGCTCGGCGTCCTGCTGTGTTGTGTTCTATGTGGGCTGGCTGAGTGACGCGCCAGTTGGGAGTCGGACTCTGCGCTGAAATAAAGAGGCAGCGGCTGCGGAGAGCGCAGAACAGCGGAGCGGAGAGAGGCGTCCCAACAACCACAGCTGCACCACCACTAACCCCGCCGTGCCTGCTCAGCTCAGCCTCCTCTCGGAGCTCTCACTGGAGGAACATGCGGTCGCTCCGTCCGGCTCATTAACACCGCTAAAAGCTCCGCGGGCTTCCACGACCTGACCCCCCCCCCCCCCCCCCCCCCCCCCCCCCCCCCCCCCCCCC